GGGGGGGGGGGGGCATGAGGTGAACACAAGGACCCTGGGTATCCCCAGCAGGGCCCAGGTTGCCCTCCCCTCCTTCCCAACCAGAGGCAGCTGTGGGTGGGGGAGGTAAAGTGTGGGACCTGAGACAGCCAGCAGAGGGAGGGAGGTGTAAGGAGTGGAGGGAGGGAAGAGGCCTGTTTCCTCCAGGGGTGAGCAGGTGAAGCTGAGTGGGAGGTGGGTGTCCTCACCCAGCTGGGAATAGGTCTCCCGAAGGTCCGACTTGCAGATGATGCCATCACGGTTCTGGTCGATGCAGCTGAAGGCCTGTGGGGTTGGGGCCACACAGTTTCCAGGTGGGAGCAGCCCCCACCCGGGTGAAGGGGGAGGTGAGGGAGTGCTGGGTGGTGGGAGGAGCAGGAACAGCTGTTGGGACCTGGACCTGCAGGGAAGGGGATACATGGGGGCTGGGAGGAGAGGCACTCACCTCCTTGAACTCCTGGATCTGGGCTTGCTCAAACATGGAAAAGACATTGGAAGAGCCTCGTTGGGCCTGCTTGGTGGCCGCAGCCTTGCCCCGGGTCCCTGCCTTCCTGCTGGCCTGAAAGAGTGTGGGTGGGTGGAAGGGGTCCTCTCTTGAGCTCCCCCCAGATGCCCCCATGTATGCCCCAGAGCATTCCCAGGAGAGCAGGGTCAGGGTCCTTTTCCCACCCTGGGAGACCACCTCTCCAGACTAGGCAGGCACAGAGGTCAATGCTCTGTTCTCTCACCCCAAAGAACAACAACCCAGGGTGCCAGTGTTCTCCAGTCCCCCAACCTAGCACTCACCATCCTCTCTCTCTCCGGTAGCCTAGTGGCTGAGGGGGACACAGACTCCTTTATGTCTCAGCCTTATCACCTGCAGCACCAAATAAGGAGAGGAGGAGAGAACAGATCCAAACTTGGCAGCCCCTGTCTGGGCTAGGGGAGGACAGGGCCCCACATGGATTCCAGCCACATTCCAGTGACCCTCAGGCCCCTGACATGTAACACCCGGTGTCTACCATCCAGGTGGTGCAGGGCTCAAGGCCTTCTGAGAGCAGGCTCTCAGCTCTCACCACTCACAGTGCTGAATGAGGGGCCCCTGTCACCCCCATCTGACTGTCCCTCCTGCAGGTCCAGCCCAGACCTGCCCAGTCCAAGAGGACAGCTGGGGGAGGAGGGCTGGTCGAGGGGGCCCTGGGCCTGCGAGGGCAGCGGGTGGTTCTGAGGATGGCCTCTGGCCTGAGACCACCAGGGACTCCCAGGAGCTTTGGTGCAGAAGCTTGGCCCTGACCTCTGGCCCCCAACTGAAAGGCAGGAGGCAGCCCAAGCTGTCTGTGACCCCAAACAGAACCCGTGTGTGAGGCATTCAGAGCAGGAACACTGCCTGGACCCCAAACAGTTGCTTGGCCCCCCATGAAAGTGGGTCATGAGCCCCTGGTTGGGGGCTCAACTGTTGAGGAGCCCGGGTGCGCAGAAGGCAGAGGAAGCAGGAAGACCTTCCAGAGCAGGAGTGGCCTTGGCTGCCCCCTGCTGGATGGGGTGAGGAATGCAGATGGCCCAGCTGGTGGAGCAAGGGCTCTCACCCATCAGCCCCAACGCCAATTTTGTATAACAAGTATTTTATGACACCTCCTTTACACTCCTAAAATGAAATTCACAGGATATATAACCTACCCATACAGAGAGCTATAAAAAAATCAATACAATGCCCTGAACTGTAACATAAGGACAACTAGGAAGTCACTTCTATTGAAAGGAGATCCAATGAGTGACCTCTGGGACGTGAGTGCATCAGCACAGGTGGAGTAATCGGAGCTCCAAGAAACTGTTGTGCATAATTTAGATTCAGGAGAACTAGCGAACAGGAGCAGTGAACGCGAGGTGCACAGAACAAGAGGACAGCTTAGGGAATGCCCTGCTCAAAATCACAACTTTGAGTTAAGCTCCGAATGAAACAAGTCATTCCAGATTTGCTGGGTACTTTCTCTCACTGAAAATCATACAAATGTGTGCTTCTATGTACCTGGGTTTAGGTGTGAGACAGAGGGACCCCTTTCTGAGACAGACCTGGGGCAGGACCAGCCTCCAGAGACCAGCCCTGCTCCCTGCTGGGCACTCTCTGGGGCTCTCCGAGATCTCAGAGCTGCTGCAGATTCGATTGGTGTATCCACACCCCAAATCCCACAGGCAGGCAGGGGGTCTGGGCAAGTCCAGTACCTCTGACACCACCTAAAAGTCACTCCACTCCTGTTCCCACAGCCTGGTCTGTCACTGGGCATACCTCCTGCATTGCTGGCCAGAGGAAATGGCAAATTAGTATCTGTGCAGGTGTAGCCATGTCTATGTACTGTCCCACAGTCTTTATGCACAGAAGTCACAGAGCGGTGGACAAGGCCATGTTCTAAACGTTTAAAACTTTTAATTTTTAAAAAAACCACACAGTCCCACACTGGGCATGAAGAGGCTGGTGTGGCACATGGAGGTCCGGTGAGAAGAGAGAGGTCTGGGCGGTCCCTTGGGGGCTGTGCTGAGTGCTGTTCGGCTAGCGTGTGGCAGCCCCATGGGGGTGTGTCCTCCTCTTCCTGGACCCTTGGACAGGGGCTTCGGGGACTCTGTCTCTTGTACCTCCTGTGAGGGTCCATCCCAGAACCACAAAGCACTCAGGGATGTTGGTGTGGGAGGGAAGAGGCTGCCATCTTCCGGCCTCCTGGTCCTGCAGTCTCCATTCTGGAGCTGGTCCCTCCCATTTCACTCCCCCATCCCCAGGCAAAGAAACCCCAGCCAGGCCTGGTGGTCAGCAGCCGTTGCTCCCTGTGGAGCCCCGGGGTAGGTCTGGCCAAGTGCCTCCCATGTGGGTTGAGTTCCCAGGGAAGCCGGGCCACAGCAGGGTCCACAGAGCACCCCCTCCCCAGAATAGGGCCCAGGCATGGCTGAACCAAGCGGAAAGCTCCAACAAAGTCCTGAGAGGACAACGCTCTCCTGGGTGGTTGATTCCAGCAGAAAGACTGAAGACTGGGGCTCTCCATTTCTGCTCCTTCAGCCCCAACCCTCTTAGGGCCCTAGGGCTGTCCCACCACCTGGCTCAGGAAGAACTGGCCTGCCTGGGGCACCCGCGTTCTCCTGCAGGCCTTTCCCCGTCTCCAGGCGGCAGTGGGGACAGGAGGCAGGCCAGGCTGGGTGCACCTGTGGGCGGGCGCTGTCCCCTGGAGCCCAGGTCCAGCGACGTCACAGCCGCCTCCTCGCCTGGCCGCTGCCGTCACTGGCCCAGCATGTACGCCTTCTTACAGGCCACCGCGGAGACCAGAGCGGCGCCGCGGCCGCTGCCGTCCTCCGACTGGATGAAGGTGATCTCGCAGCTGGGGGTCAGCCTGCGCACTCTGGCGTGGAAGCGCTCCTTGAAGCTGGGGGAGCAGGCGGCGCTGAGGCCCCTCCCCGCGCCCCGCGCGGCCTTCCCAAGCCCACCTTCCCGAGGGGCTGGGCTAAGAGCAGGGAGCCCCTCCCTCGCTCCCCGGCCTTGGGGAAAGGGGGTAAGAGCCGGGGTCTGTGAGCAGCAAGGGCCCCGGGCGCGCATCTCCCGCCGCGCTCGCTGGCGGAGGCCGCGGCCGGCTGGGCGCTCGGGCCGCGCTCACCTGGGGTGCAGCTTGTACACCGAGCCGTCCACGCCCACGGTGATGCGCATCAGGTCCTCGCTGCGGCTCTCGCGCATGCGGTTGATGACGGCCGCCAGCCCCGCGG